TGTCTTCATTCTAGCACTTCTTGGTGGCTACCTCTCTGATTCTTATCTTGGTTGCTTTTGGACCATGCTCAATTTTGGCTTTGTGGAACTTTCTGTATGTATTTCTTTCCTTTCCCAATGACTTTTGTCTCTATCTCTACTGTCTACCCTCTAAAACTTTGTCAACTTAATTTTAATCACATGTTTCATGGGTTCCAAAACCTCTCAACTTATTTTACAGAACAAGTTTATGTGTTCAAATTGTCTTTATTACACCCCTTTTATGTGATTCGGAATCATTATATTATCATTTTCATAAATTAGAGGTGAATAGAGTTAAAATTAAGACCATTTGCTTGCTCTCATACCATGTTACGATAAGAAGGATTTATGGATAGCAAAACATCGAACTTCGTGTTAGGACCAGCAATAGTATATTTCTGGAGATACCCTCTCACCATTATAGTATTCTACTTGTTTAGATGGAAAAACTTTTAGACGAAGTTCTAGTTTTGCGTTATATTCGTAATTTTTTGAAAATTTACAGAAAATTGCAATCCTCGTGTGTTTCATCATACACAGGGTTTCATATTACTATCAGTTCAAGCCCATCTTCCCCAACTAAGACCACCAAAATGCAACATGGTAACTGACGGAGACAACTGTGAAGAAGCCAAGGGGTTCAAATCCTCGATATTTTTTGTAGCCCTTTATTTGGTTGCATTAGGGAGTGGCTGTGTTAAGCCCAACATGATAGCTCATGGTGCTGATCAATTTGACCAGATTGACCCAAATCAATCCAATAAGCTTTCCAAATACTTCAATGCTGCATACTTTGCCTTCTCCATTGGTGAACTTGTTGCCTTAACTCTCCTTGTTTGGGTCCAAACACATTCCGGAATGGACGTCGGGTTCGGAATCTCGGCTGCTGCCATGGCCTTGGGATTAATCAGCTTGATTTGTGGAACATTCCTTTACAGGAACAAGCCTCCTCAAGGCAGCATCTTGACTCCTATTGCACAAGTAAGAAAAGTGCTTCTAATTTTTATACAAATGAAATGCATATACTTTAGGTTCGATACAAGTCCTACTCGGTGGGTTTCAATTCATCAGAAATAATGAATTTAAAATAAAGAGGTTCAAGTTCAATTGATTGTTTAAAATATTTTTTACTCTCTCCTTTTGAAGTCTTATGGTTCATGTTCTTGAAAAAGTTCATCACTAAAGTGCCTGCTTATAATACAAAATATACACATAAAATTTTCTTGAATCAACTTAACTTATTTTAGGTTTGTTCACATAGGTGTTCGTGGCTGCAATATTAAAGAGAAAACACTTCTGTCCGTCTGATCCTCGAATGCTTCATGGAAGTCAATGCAAGGACCCTAATAGTGATAATGATGGCAATCTTCAACTAACTGAAAGATTCAGGTAAAGTGCGAAGCCCTCTCTCGTGCATGCCAAATTTATTTATATTCTGTTTGGTGAAAATTAGAATTCAGATTTTAACCTAGTCAAAGTCAACAATTAATTTTAAACTACAGGTTTCACGGGACCCACAATATTTCAACCACACATTTCATTAAGTTTTATCAAAATCTACTAAAAATTTGATTTTAATTCCTACCAAACAGGGCCTTATTTAGTTTTATCAAAGATCTTAGGTGCACGATTTCAATAAATGAGTGGTAGCGAGACTCAAGTCAATGATCTTTGCCTGTTGTAATACTATTTTGAATCCCACATTTATGTATTCTTCAACAGTTCCACTAATGAATATCAAATTTTCAGGTTCTTGAATAAGGCCTGTATAAAACTTGAAGATGGAAATAACAAAAGGGAAAGTCCATGGAGGCTCTGCACTGTAAACCAAGTAGAGCAAGTAAAGATATTGATTTCAATTATTCCCATATTTGCATGCACAATTGTTTTCAATACAATCTTAGCACAATTACAGACATTCTCAGTTCAACAAGGAAGTTCTATGAACACTCAGTTAACCAAATCCTTCCACATTCCTCCAGCTTCTCTTCAATCCATCCCTTACATCATTCTAATATTCATACTCCCTCTTTATGACACATTCTTCGTCCCTTTTGCTCGAAAAATCACTGGACATGACTCCGGAATAACTCCTTTACAGCGAATAGGATTCGGCCTTTTTACCGCTACATTTTCAATGATCTCAGCAGCCATAATGGAGAACAAGAGAAGGAATGCTGCTGTGAATTCAAACAAACAATTGTCCTTGTTCTGGATCACGCCGCAGTTTTTGATCTTTGGGATATCAGAAATGTTCACAGCAGTCGGCCTAATCGAATTCTTCTACAAACAGTCCTTGAAAGGAATGCAATCCTTTTTAACAGCAATAACTTACTGCTCATACTCATTTGGCTTTTACTTCAGCTCAGTACTTGTTTATCTTGTAAACAAGGTCACTTCACATTCCTCTGGTGGTGGATGGCTCAGTGAAAACAATCTCAACAAGGACAGATTAGACCTGTTCTATTGGTTGCTAGCAGCTCTAAGTTTCGTTAATTTCCTCAACTATCTGTTCTGGGCAAAAAAGTACTTTCACAACCAATCTCCATCAGCCTCACCACAACCTGATTTTAACGGCCAGGATTTGTACAATCTCAATCGCAGCACCCCAAAAATTGTGGGAGATGAAAACATAACTTAAATGACAGTGTGGGAATCAAAGGGAAGTTTTTTCTTTTTGTTCCTTGCATTCCCTGAGTCTTGTAGGTAAACAGAGAAATGGAAAAGAAGTAATGCCATAATGGATCTATTAGGATAATGGCATTTGTGTACATGTATAGAAAATGGCATTAGTAATTGCTTTTTTATGAGAAATATATGTAGCACTATAATTATCAATAAATCTATCGCCAACCACATGGATTGACTATAGATTTAATCGTCAAAATATATTCAATGTGAGTGTTGAGTGTGATGTTATGAAAAAGCGAGAATACGCAAAATAAAATTAAGAATAAGAACTCAAGATTTACGTGAAAACCCAAGTTGAGAAAAAACCTAGGGCAAAGTAGGAGAAATTCACTACATCAAATATAATTACAAAAAGTGCAGCTAATCCGAATGATATGGTATTATAAAACCCTAATACACATCATATATATAATAAAACAGGTCCGACTTCATCGCTACCACTACAAACCCCATTTTTTCGCATAATTTTAGTTTCATCAAATTCACATATGTCGTATTGCTAGCTTTTCGGGTTTGGCCAAATAGAATTCCAGTCACCATATTCTAACATGTGACCTGTTATATTTTGACATTAATTCAATAATGAATTCAGGATAGTTCAATGAAGAAGGTTTTCCGATAGATTGCTCAACCACAATATGTAGTGGCACATTAGCCTATTGGCTTAATTTGTCCGGTTTACAGTGCTTGATCTCACCCGCGTGTCAACACCGGATAATTGTTGGTGAAGGTCGATCGCCTCCTTTAGTTGGTGTGCCTTCCACATCATCTGAGGACTATGAGGTGGAAGAGTATACATGATCTATTACCAAGATACAATGCATTTTCCCTAACAACATCAGTATCAATTCCTTTATCACAAAAGACCCAAGGTAGTGGCAAACAAGTGCCTATACTTTTGGTTAATTGGGAGGAAAAAGCCCCACCTAAAGCAGTACTGTAATGTGATGACTAATGTGCATAGAAACAAAAAGTCAAAAGAAGAAGTAATTTATTACAGCTTAAAAGGTAGAAAGAAGCCCATTGTTTCTGACTTACTTTGACAGTATAAAGAGTAAAATTGTCAAAGTGCTCTCTATACGAAGATGGATGGTGTCTTTATTTTCATGGTGGTCCTTTTTTTACAAATTATTAACTTTTTCAAAAAGGGACATGTCCCAAACATGTTTTGTTGTTGGAGTTAATTTTGAAGACCCTTTACAAATCCTATCCAACCAAACTTTTAACACTAGTCAATGTGTTTGTTGGGTAAAAGTTCGGTTACCAAGGATCCCACCACATAAAGGAAAGGGCCGTGCTCCTTGAACAACCCTCTGGATAACTAAAGGTCGTGTATTCTAAAGGTAACTTCTTCTTACATTATCTGGCTTTAGAGTGACAATAGAAATAGAATCAACATGAAATCAAGAAATTGTGACTTCTAGTCCGTCTTCAGTCATAATTAAGATTGAAAATGTTAGTAGTACACAATGGGACCAACATTTCCACTCCTACTGTCTTAGCCTATATGAAATTATTTTATTATTATTATTATTTTTTTGATATCCAGGCATCCCAACTTACACCAAACTAAATCTTGGACCTGCAAGACCCATGCCCCTAGAACTTTGAAGGAGGTAAATCGCGGGTTATGCCTCAACTGGATCACAGGTTCTCCCCATTGACTGTACACTTCTGCGCACAAGAGACCCTCCTCCACAGTGATTGCTCCATACCAAATTTTTTTAGCCGCAAGTTCCCACCAGAAATCGAACTCTCCACCTTACCGTTGGAAGCAAGCCAATATTGATTGATCCACCAGTTGAGCTGTGCCCCGGGACAGCCTATATGAAATTATTGTTTCAATGGACACTGGATTAAAAGTAAACTGGTTAAATAGATAGAAGAAACCCTCGTGCCAATGGAAAACACGGCAAAATGAGTGTGGAAAAGTACTATATTCGACAAAATTTATGGATATATCAAAATAGAACTCCCCTCTAACAAAAGATATATATATATATATATATTTTTTTTTTAGAAGTTGGTCGAGCAATAAAAATGTTAGGACCGTAAAAGATATAGGTCATTTAAAAAATGAATGTTTATGATTATTTCATAGAGTAGATTGCAAAATATGTGATATGAGTCACGAAAAAATGAAATTAAATGTTGTTCATTGTGTTGCTAAGTACTGCCATATCTTTAGAATTTACAGTGTGTGAGAAATTTTAACAAAGAATTCAAAAATATATTTAAGTCCATTATATCGCTAAGTACATGCCAAAAAAAATTACCCAGTATACGACTTGATTGGTAATGGCAAATTGCATATTATAAGAAAGTAAATAGCCTCAATTCAAGGCACGTGGCCTGGTTCGTTAGACATACGGTACTAAAGCTTTGGTTCACAAAGTTGTTCAAACAAACAGATATAGCTACAACTCGAAAAACATCATGTCCTTTAACAAAAAAAAACTCCGTAAAAGATACAGACCATTGATTAAACAACTATTCTCAGGTTAGTTACAGATTCAGAGGTCTGCTGATTGAAGGCAAAACACACGTCTTATGAGTACTTTATTTAACACCGATGAGAGAAACAGAGAGGAGTGAGAAATGTGAGCATGCCTGACCTTGGCACTAGGCACTCATCTGCATAGTCAAGAAAGTGAAAAGTTAGTCTCAATGAGTAAATTTCAGCAATCATGCATTCAAAAAAATAATAAATCAGTAAAAAATGTGTAAAACTCGATGCATCCGTCCAATAAAAAGGGGTTTTTTTTTTCTCTTTTTACAGAAATGTTACTAAATCGTCTTCAAATATGTCAAAACATCAATTTTACCAACTGTGACCTTGTTTCACGTACTTTTCTATCCATTTAACCACATCCTGGACTCCATCCCTCTCCATGGAACCAAATTATTGCAATCATCCATCTTACATCTTATAATCACACAAGATGTTTCTAACACATTTCTGTGCCCCCACGCTTTGTTCGCTAATCAAAATTTTGTGCCAAGTTTCATCAAAGGTGAAAATAGCTGAATCTACAGACCCAAACTAGAAAACTGAAAATCTTCCACGTGAAACTCATAAGAAAAGAACAACTCTAAGAAAGTTTTCCATCCTGTTTGTAAGATTGTTTAGAAAGGGTTGAAAAAAAGCTGGCTTTGCGAATGTTTTAAACAAGTTTCTATCAGTGACAATGGGTCCATACCTTGGAAAATAGAGTGTGATTTGTTTTGCCCACTTTCATAGATGTTTTCTACTGTGGATAATTTTGATGCACTGACATGAATACATGTATCTGATATGATACATGTCAGTCGGATACGTCGACTTGTGATTTTTCAAAAAAGCACCAACAAGACACGTCGCTGACACGTTCATTAAATTCTTTCAAATTCCTCATTTATATAGTTTAAATTTAGTTTTATACTTATTATTGATTTTTTTTTTTTTTTGAAATCTTTTTAATATGAGTATATATTTGTCATTTACTAATAATTTTGAGTTAAAAATATATAATAACTATCGTAAGAAAGAAAAATCATTATTGTAGAGTGTCCGAAAAGTGTTGGTATCAACACGCATCGGACATGCTACCCTAATTAAAGTGTCCGTGTTACGGAGGTGGGTAACTTCTTTGGTTAAAAATAGAGAGAATATCAGAAGAGACCCCAATCAGTGTAATGAAGAGTAAGGAGCAAAGGTACTATTTATCTATAAAAACATAGGTGCAACAACGTCTGTTCATGTGAAAGCCAGGGAAATTCCGCTTTGGCCAAGTAGGCCTCGTGATTCATATCTCTGTTTTAAATTTTGATGCAAGTGTGACAATAGTCTTATTCCTGAACCACATGCTCAAATACATCTTCTTTTCTCACTAAGAATATTAGATATTTTCAGCAAGAACGATATTATATGCACAAATTAGGGACCATCCCCATGAGATGTGGGGCGAAGTGATAAGGCCATTAAAAGTGTGGAGAAGAAACCCACCCTTTTATCTGAATGCCACCTCAAATGGATTACTCATGCTCATTCAACAAATTCTGAAATGAAAACTGAACCGGAAAACACAGCAAGTGCAGATGTGATACAAATATTAATTACCCTTACACTACGTTTGATGGCACACAATTGGGCGCGCAACATTGAAACTGGCAAAAATTTTGCTGAATTTTGAACAGATGTTTCATTAGTTCCAATTTGAAACCCATGTTTCATGCCACAAATTTGAGTACAGATGAATGTATATCCTTCCACTCATAACAACCAACAGCAGTTAAAAGACAGACCCTTCTCTTTACATATACATTCAAAAAGGAAGAAAAACTACAGCAAGCACAAGTCATAACTCTTGAGTATGCATAAATACATGTCACATCATTTCTCAAAGTATATTCTGATTGTGTTCATTTTTTAAAGAACCCTAATTTTCAGACAATGAGACATGCCCAATTGATGCAGACTAACACAAATATGTTTTTACTAACGAAAGACCCATTTCTTAAAATTGAAATCTAAAACCAATGGCGGTATCCACCGAAAATTCATATTTTGCCAATAGGTACAAATACTACCTATACTATGTACATGTGCCTTAAAGAGCTATTCTTATCTTGTAGATAGACGGTCAGTTTGCGTTAATATTTTGAAGAACCCAGAGGTTCAGAAAATGAGACGTCTCCAATTGAAACAGGCTAACACAAAAACAATTTATTAAAACTGAAACACAAATACCAATGTAAATCCAAAATTCCAAATTCCCTAATATTAAGCATACCAATAAACCACATATCCACAACATCCCATCCACGTATGCGCGCCAAAAAGATCTATTATTACCTTGTAGATAGAGGGGAAATTCTAATGAACAGCAGATGTAGAAGAACCAGCAGGAGCAGGAGAAGAAGTGGAGTGAGAGTGAGATTTTGGGGCATAGATTTTTTCGTAGGCGGCTTCACCGACAACGTAAATTCCAAAAGCGACGAGAGCGATACCAAGGCCGGGGGCGGCATGGCGCCACTGGTTCGTCATCATCGGGTGCTTCCGCCACTCGTCCCGCCTCCTAAAGAACTCGCCTGTGGATCCCAGCGGTTTCACCATTGATGATGCTCTTCCGATTAATTGACGAAATGCCGTGAGATTTGGTAAGGAAATGGGGGATTTTTAAAAATGACCAAGCCCTTAGCAACTTTTGGAGGCCTAACTTAGGCCAAATAAGTTTCTAAGGTTTCTTTTATGTTAAAATGTCTAAATTATCCTTGTTTGTTGATATGTCTTAATTGCCCTCCATATAAAATGGCTATAGTAGCCTTACTATAGCATTTTTAGGAAAAACTGAATAACAAATAAAGACTCTAGTAAAAATGACTATAGTCGTTTTAAACGATTACGGCCGTTAATACGACTAGAGTTGTTCATTTTTTATTTCATAAAAGCACTTGGTTGTGATTTGCATGGTCGCGACCAACTTACGGCAAATAGAAAATCTATTTAGATCATGATCAAAAACTTTGTTTAAAAGAAAAATGACTCTAGTCATTTTAAACGACTGCAGTCGTTTTTCATTTATCACTTTCGAGTTTTAAATGATATCTCACCTTTTATTATATATAATAGTTTAACTTATTCAAAATTAATTATAAGTCATGTACTTAAAATCGAATACCGTATACTTGAACAATGCGCAGTGCAGCATGATAAACTATATAACGAACTTTATATTCCATTACGTTTTTAAATGAAACATTATGAAATCAAATAGGTTTAAAAGGTTACATGTTGGATTAGTCTCTCGTCTTTCATTATACATGAACTTAAAGAAACCAATTGTAAGTCGTATATTTAAATACTGATATGATATACTTGATCAATGTGTAATGGAGTAAAATGATGAAGTTCCCCTTCCTATATGTTTTTAAACGAAATAGGTTGAAATCAACCATGTACTAAAATGTTAGAAGTTTGAAAGACATCTTGTCTTTCATTATAAATGATAGTTTAACTTGTTCAAAATTAATTGTAAGTCATGTAATTAAAAATCGAATACGGTATACTTGAATTATGTGCAGTGAAGCACAATGAATTGTACAAAACGATCTTTATCTTCCTATACTTTTTTTTAAATGCAATAAGTCGAAATCTAACACAATCCAAAAGTTTAGAAGTTTAATTGACATCTCATCTTTCATTATACATGATGATTTAACTTATCGAAATCAAAATATAAGTCGTATGCATAAAAAATTGAATACGATATTCTTGAATAGTGTGTAATAGAGTATGACGATAAAGTTCACCTTCCAATATGTTTTTACATGAAATATGTTAAAATCAAACACAGTTTAAAAGGTTAAATTTTTTATTGGCACGTCTTTTCATTCTAAAATGATGTTTTAGCTAATCAAAATCAATTGTAAAATGTATACTTAAAATTGAATACGGTATACTTGAATTACATATAGTTGAGCACGATGAGTTGTATATCACAAAGTTTGCCTGTCCATACGTTTTGAACAAAAATAGGTTGAAATAAAACACATTCTAAAAGATTAGAAGTTCAATTGACTCTTTCATTAAACATGATGGTTTGACTTAACGAAATCAATTGTAAGTCGTATACTTAAAAATTGAATGCGGTATATTATAACAATTTAGTAAAGCACAATCCCTTGTATATTACAATGTATGCTATATGTTGTGAGTTTTTGTCATAATTCATACATAATTTGTTTTATGAATGTTGGACATAATTCAAAATATTTCATTTAAAACTGTAAAGAAAAAAGAGTATATAATAAAAAAAAAAAATGAGATGTGAATCTAAAAAACAATTCAAGTCGACTGTGATCGTTTTTATACATTATTGTAAGTCACATACTTAGAAAGTTTGATTGTCACCTTATATTTCATTATACGTTATTGTAAGTCGCATACTTAGAAATTAAATACGGTATGCTTGAACATTGTTAGTGGAACACAATAAATTGTTTATAATGGAATTTGTCTTCTTATTTCATTTTAAACTAATAAATCGAAATCAAACACGATCTTTAATCTTAGAAGTTTGATTATCACCATATATTTCATCTACCTATATGTTTCTGAAAAAAAAATTATAAACAATTGGAGTCTTTTTAAACAACTTCAGTTGTGTAGGAAAAAGTTGTGTAGGAAAAAGACCAGAGTCGTTTAAAAAGACTATAGTTGTTTTAGGAAAACGAATATAGTCGTTTTAAACGGCTAGAGTTGTTTTTCTACGAAACAACTATAATCGTTTAAATACACTATAGTCATTTTAGGAAACAACTATGGTCTTTTTAAATGAGTAAAGTTGTTCTTTTCGAAAAAGACTGGAGTCTTTTAAATGACTATAGTCAGACAACATTAAACAACCAACATTTTTGCAAAAAGGAGTATTATCAAACACATAGTGAAGAAAACAGTATGCCCTTTCTTGTCAAAAAGCCCCATCTTTGAAAACTCGTAAATAAGCTTCCTATAATCCTTGGATGTATCAGAAATAGAATAATCTTCTGAGTAAACCCCATTAAAGAATTTATCAAGATATTGCCAAGCACTGCCTAAATGAAAAGCAACAAATGCATCAGTTGCGCCCCCCAGGGCACTTCTCCACTGGCAAAGGACGGACGCTGTCAAATCTGGCAGAGCAGAGGTCGTGAGTTCGAAACATGGGGCTCTTGGAAGGCAAGGATTTATTCTTGGAAGGCAAGGGAACATTTGGAAGGCAAGGATTATTCTTGGAAGGCAAGGTGCAACTTGGATTGGCTTGCTTGGCACTTTGTCAGACCAGGTGGGGAGCGCTCGTACCCTGGCCAGTTGGAGGCACATCCTGCGATTAACCGGACTGTGTGAAGAGGGGCCGGATCACAGACCCAAGGATTAGTCTAGAATAGGACACCTTGTAAAAAAAAAAAAAACAAATGCATCAGTTGCATCCTGGCCAGCAAGATTCAAAAGTGGGTGCCCACCACCTGGATGATGATTCACCCGTTCTGAAACATCATACACTTTCCCCTAAATTTTTAAACTATAATATGATTTTTTTTCTCAATTCAAAATATATACATTACACTATAATACAAAGTAGCAGTAACTAAAAATGGCAAACATAATACTCAAAATTAGACAATTTCCAGCAATTAACATAAAGAGGGAAAAAAGCAATAGTAAATATCAAGATTGTTCTCTTTACTTCCATGTCGTGTTTCGCCCAAGTGTTCTTGAATCAGTTCATTTCTTTACGCAATATCTCTGTTCTATAATTGAAACCATTCAATCTGTTAATCCATGAAAGCCATGGAATAAATTCACCAATACTAAGATTAGTCAGCAGCTCTTGTCCCTCACTTACCACTCTCAAAAATTTCTTCCCAGCTTCTGTTTTACTGAACTTTCTCCCGAAAGATGATCAACAAACGACATCATTACTGAGCAAAGTAAACATCCCGTTCAAGAAAAAGCCCAACTCTTCCCAGAGATCACTTGCCCAACAAAAAAATCTATAATAAGCATATTATTTTAGATTGAAGAAAAATCTCATATTGGATTAAAACTAGCAACATTAAGAAACAAAATTATCAGATTAAGACATATTTCAAACAAAACGTAGCTGATGACGTTCTCATATTTCTAGTTTTTACCTTTAGAAATTGTGATTTTTTGCTTAATCTTCCTCGCTCCTTGAATATTTCCTCAGATAATGCACACTGCTTGCCGTCTAAATTAGATAGGCAAAGAAATTTCTCCTTCAGTATTGAAGGTTTGAAGGTTGAAAGCGCCATTCATTTTCTTCTTCTGACTGTTGCTTCGTTGTCTTTGCCTGTTCAGAAAGAGAAATGCGAGAGCCGTTTATTTCCCATAGAGCTTAAGGGTAAAAGGGAAAACTGGAAATTAAGGCCCTGTTCTCTTTACGGTTTTCGGGTCGTTTTCTGTTTTCGATTTTTCAAAACGGTGAAAACGTGTTCTCTTTCCCGTTTTCGAAAACGAATTTTCGAAAACGTTTTCGAAAACGAAAAAAATTTGTGAAGAAAACACAAAACGACTTTTTTATCGTTTTGGGCGTTTTCAGTGTAAAACTTGAAAAAATTGAAAACACGGGAAACACTTTTTTTTTTTTTTTTGAAGGGGGGGGGGGGGGATTTTCAAAATTTCAAAAAAAAATTAAAAATTAAAATTCTTTTTTTGAGGAGATAGTGTTGTGATTCTCAAAATTTCAAAAAAATAAAAAATAAAAATTAATATTTTTTTTTTTTTTGTGTTTTGAGGTGGTGTTGTGGTGATTCTCAAAATTTAAAAAAAAAATTAATTTTTTTTTGTTTTGAGAAACTAACAAAAAGAACGCATTTTCAACAATTTCAAAACAAATATTCAAAACACAAAACTCAAAATGAATTCAAAACTCAAAACACAAAACTGAAACACAAAGAGAACACCCCCTAAAAGTTTTTATTGTTTTCTGAAAAAATGAAAAACCTGGTCAAAGGACAATAAAAGTTATCAGCCGGGTCAAAGGGTCAATTACCACTATTCCCACAAAGGAAATGGTGTTAATTTGGGCTCATCTGTATCGGGCCATCTGGTCTCAAGGATCTCATTGTCAGTTGGTCTGGGCTGTAAAGGAGCTCCTAAACACAGAAAAGAAAAATTTACAAATCCTACCTCAAGTATGGAGACTTCAAAAATCAGGTTTCTTAGTTAATTAATTAAAAATATTTATTAATTAAATATAACAATGTTACAATTATATATTCATGGTCACAAATACATAATTACAGGTCACAATTTATTTATTGATCACATACTATCAAATTAATTGGTCACAGATTATTTCGATGTCACAAATCAAAAGTTTTATAGGTCACAGTTTATTTCGTTGGTCACAGATCAAAAAAATTGTAGATCACGATCACATATTTTCAAATTTGTTGATCACATATTATTTTTTTATCACAAGTTATCAAAGTTTAATGTCACAATCTACCAAATACTTGGTCACGAACACCAAATAATTGGTCACAAACCACTGCCACCATCACCACCACCACCACCGTAACACCTCCATTGTTGAAAATCGCACCGACAGCAACACATCTCGACGCTTGTACCACACCACCACAACCACTAACAAATACCCATATCCCACACCGTCCCACCCACAACCATCGTTCGT